AACTTCTTCATCATTCAATGGAAAGCTTCATTCCCAGATCTATCTTCCATACATACATTTTATAGACTAGAAAACAGGGACCTAACAGAAGTTTTAGCTGAAATTTGGTATGAGTAAACTAGACTTGATAAATAAGATGGTCAAAAAATTTCATAAAAAAATTCAACCGGGAACCACCCCAAATGACGACGGCCGGACAGAACCTTCTAAATAAGAGCTTATTTGACCTTTTTGGTTAGTACATAGGCCTATTTGCACCTTTTCCCTTTTATTAATTTACTCCGATCCTTGCTCTGTCTCATATCTCTCTAGTTCTTGACAATTACTCCGTATTAATATTTCAGAATTAATTTACTAATATCGATTTTTACATCTTTTGAAGGTACATGCTTAAACATTTTAGACTTTAATCTTTCCTCTGTAACATCAATATGAAGGATAAGCATTAGCTCTTATCTCAAAGATTTTTCATTGATCCTGTAATTGAATTTGATTTAGAAAAATAGAGCTGCTGCATTTTTTAAAACGTTGACAATTTTACAAGAGTTGTTATCATTGCTTGGCAGCAATAAAAAATGTACGGAGTATGTAACATGTTTGGCAACCGTTGTTTGTTGTTACTACTCCCTCCGTAACTTTAGAATATTCCCATTTCAAAAATAGGTAGATTAAGAATAGTGAAAGATGATATGAATTATTGAGGGTATGATGGGAAAATAGTGGAATAATGTGGTGGAATGTAGGATAAATCCAAAAAAAGTAGTTGTAATAGTGTATTATTTTAAGAATTATTGAGGGTATGATGGGAAGATTTAGAAATGGGAAGATTTTTGTGTTACGGACGAAAAAGGAAAGTGGGAAGATTTTTAAGTTACGGAGGGAGTATTATTTAAAAACGTTTCAAAATTGTTGTCCTATTTACTTTAAAAAACGGTTCTCTATGCAAACCCTATAAGTACGTTTTTTGTATTGTGTTGCCTTTAAATGTAAAACTATTGCCAAAAGCATAGGCAATATCTCTCATTGCCGCAGTTTTGAAAGTGTTGCTAAAAATAATAGCAACGGTTTTTAACCATTATGCAACGGTTTTTAACCATTATGCAACGGTTTTTCAGCGTATTGATAGATAGAAAATGTTGTAATGATCTTTCCCTTTAACATAAGGTCAATCCTTTTCTTTAAAATTGGCAATTTTTAGTTAGATGAATTATAAGGATTTTATAAGATTCATTGATTTGTATATCCGGATAGTAATTCTTAAGAATTTGGGTACGATATTGATTCGTTGTGAAATACTTTCTCTTCCATTTTATAAAAATTAAATGATCACGTGGAATCAACTTCATATCCGATTGATTGTCATCAAATAGGTTCAATTGCACATTACATGATTGACTACATGTGAGGTTTTACGATTTCCTAAGCATGTAATTATTTTTTTTATTTTCCAATCTCGATGGAAAATGACATGATGAATGATAAATGTACACGTTTAAAGAGACACTTTTCTACTAATATTATGAAGATGTAATACTCCTTACATTTTAATATTGAATATTTGATAATGAGAAAATTTTGATTTAAGAAGCTATACTATCAATTAATGTTTTGCTAAATGGACGTTTACAAAAGTTTGATCAGTAACATTTTTAGCATTTCTCAATTGCTTGGATCCATTGTAATTATATTATATAAACACAGATACATAAGAGAATATTTATATATCTAATGACAAGTATTTTTGGTAGTACGAAGTGATCCCAACTTTGTCAAACTTTGCGTTCTGAAAAATTTATCCCAAATTTTTAATAGATGTACATCTGAGTTGGTCAAACTATTCTTTAGATTCCCAGTTTCCCACCGTCAACTAATGATATAGTTAAATATATAACATATACATTCCGTGCAACGTACGGATAAAGAATCTAGTTAACGTCATAAAACTAAAATTGTAGATCACCGTGATTCATAATTTTGCACATGAAATAGGTATACTATGTGCATGTTTGGCAAACATAAGATCCTACCTTCTAGCTTTTATAATATTTAAAAAGTCTTTAAAAGATTCGAGTCATATGTTTGACGTGCCGATTTTAAGATCTTTTAAAAATAAAAAATCTTTTTTGAGAAGCTACAATGAGTAAGCATCCAAATAAAATATGTATTCTGTGGCTTTTAACATTTATTAGTCCCAACAACTTGTATATGAAACCGAATTAAAATAAACAATCAATTACTTTCTCCGTTCTTTTTTAGTTGCAACATTCCTTTTTTCACGTTTGTCAACACACAACTTTAAACGTCATTATATTTAATTCCGTATTAGTAAATGTAAAATAAAAAACAAATTATAAAACTTAGTAATGAGACGAATTTAACAATATTTTTCAAAAAAAATAATTCACATACATTAAAAAATAAAATGAAATAGTAGTACGTGCATATTCAAATAGTACATGAATAGTGTATATATTCAAACTAGACGATAAACCCGTGCGTTGCACGGGAAATCTAGGAACCCTTTGGTGATCTATATATGTTTACGGTTTATCAAACTTATCAACCATTTTAGTTTTTTCTCATATTTCGTATAATTTTTTATGAGACAAAGGGATTATAAATTTTTGAGATAACAAAAATAACGAATGTTAGCAAAGTTTCATGAGACAGAGTAAGGGTAAGTTTTATGATTTTTAATTTATGAATGTGACTTTTCTAATTTGTAGTTACTAACTGTCACTGAGAAGTTATTGTGTTCGTCATATTTTTATGAGAAAAATAATCAAAATACCTAAACTCTGAAGAAGCGTGAGATAACACTCCAAACTTTCATATGTAATTTAAATACCGCAAACTTTATGTAAAATTTATTTTAGCAATATGGTCCTATATTATTCCTTTCAAAAATGTTATTTATGGTGTTAATTGCATAATTTAAAATAACAAATTAAAAATGTTGCAATTGTTCACTCTAGTGGGGGAATTATTATTTATTTTGCAATGGAAGTTTAGAATGTTAATTGTATTTTTTAGAATGCTAAAATATTTGAAATTGTGAAACTTACACAAAAAATTAACAATTTTGAAAGAAATAATACATGACTGGTGCTAAAAGAACTTTTTACATTAAGGTTGGGGTATTTAAATTATATATGCAAGTTTGGGGTGCTTAATTCACACTCCTTTTAAAGTTTGAGGTATTTTAATTACTTTACCTTATTCTTATTGCTTATTGTTTATTTTTATTTTATTCAGACCAGATCAAATAAGGGACAATTCAAGTTAGATCAAATCGGAAAAATTAAGTTCACATGAGAAAGATTTAGATGTATAGTTATAGTTCTAACTATTATTATAGTTATAAATTTAATCACAATAATAGTGATGATAATAACAAAAATAACCGCAGCAATAATAAACATCTAATTACATTAGCAATATTTAGATCTGAGTGAGATTGATTCAGATAAAAAAAAAGTTTCTGATCAGCTAAAAAAACTCAGATCATATGAAATATTAAAAATTCAAATAAAAACATTCCTATCCGGCTAATGGAATAACCCCTAAGAGAGCGTTTGCAAATACTTAAAAAAGCGATTCTCGACTTTTGGCTTAAAAGGCTAAAATTAGTGTTTCCAAATGACTTCTACTTAAATAAACGTTTCTTGACTTTTGGCTGAAAACTGCTCTTTACTTTTACTACTACACAAAAAGCGCATATTTTACCAAACACTGTCACCTTTTACTTTTCAAAAACATTTTCTCTCTCAAGTGATACTAACTTTTACTACTAATCACTTTTTCCAAAATAATTTCAAAAAGTGTTTTTTTAAGCAAAAACATTTGAAAACATTTTTTAAATCTTCAAAAAAAGTATTCCACTAATTATTATTATACGGAGTACTCAATTAGTTTTAGTACTCCGTATTACCCAACTACTACTTTAGCAAATACTACGTATTATTGAAGTTAAAATACTAATTAGCTAGTATTATGCATGTTTTCGTAAGTGAAAGTGCATTGATGAAGTATTAAGATAGATATTTAATTGAGACAACAATTTTTCACATGTTTTGACTCCAAATAGATCCCACCTGAAATCCCACCATAGGATCTTTATATATATAAAGATAGTAGTACGTAGTAGTTACTACCACTTTTGTTAAGTTCTTTTCATTTACTAAAATGGTACTCCGTGATAAAATATTTTTTCAAGTGATTCTGCCAATTCAAACATACCCCACTTAATTAACATACTACGTAAAAGTTAGGGAGCGTTACTTAATTACCACAATTTGCGGCGGTCTAAGCTGCTTACCTGAAAATAATAAGAGTAAGAGCATCGCCATTCATCATATTCAAGTTTATGGTTTTTTATGGTTTATTGTCATGTCACTTCCACATAATATTATCTCAAATAATCACCACATCTATCATTTATCCGGCCTCATCCATGATTAATTTTCCTAGATTTTTTATGAGACATGCCTATTACTTCACACGAACTACAAAGCTAGTCATCACCTTAATTATGAGTATATGCCTAGAAAATGAAGAGAGAAGTCTAAAAATTGGAAATATAATCTCAAAATAATCTAGCTTTAGAATTTGATACCAGATTATTTTATCAAATAATCCCAACTCCTCATCCATGATCCCCCAAAAAATCTTTCACATCATCAAAACGATCCCAAAAATAATCTATGGATGTGGATGTCCTAAGAAATACGGAGTATTACAATACTTATTGCTTGGTAATAGGGATGTTTTCTTTTGGACTGAAATTTGTTGGTCTGGTATGGTTTGAACTGGTCTGGTCTGGTAAACGTCTGGTCCCTGTGTATTTTATAATTACGGAAGTCTGATCTGATCTGATCTGATCTGGATTAATCTGATTTGGTCCGATTTGGTCCGGGAGTGAAAAAAGTGCAAACGAAAACATCCTAAATTAGTCCACCTGAGACGTGACATGAAACGGCAGTTTATTAGGACAAGATCTGAGCTGCGCCTAATTAATGCGACACTTTTGACCGGCCGCACGAAACTCGGCCGGCCTTGACCATGACATCTGCTTCAAATCTGGCTTCCATCAATTCATTTCAAACAATTGCAGCTTCAAGGCCAACTGGGTTTACTAGCTGCTTCGATCAACCATATTCGTTTCCAAAGTGGATCGTGATGAGGATCTTCAGATGCTGCAGGTAAAAATGCTCATACTCCCTACCCTCTCTCATCTCCCAATTATATTCCATCAAATTGACACAAATTTTCTTATATATATTGACTTTTCTTGATCATAAACTTGTCCGATCTCTTGAATTGATTCAAGGGAAGTATAATGTGATTCACAATATATACTTCTACTCTAATGAAATAAATCTCAGTCAGATCATAATAATTTCGAGACAAACATATGTATTGGGTATTAATGATCGGTCTTTTGGTTCTAAAATAGTGCAAAGAGTGTGATATCATAATTTTAATTATTCGTACGTGATATATATATATATATATATTGTGAATTGAAGCCGTGCTAGATGTGTACGTTGTATATGCATGTGTAGGGAAAATGGGAAAAGAACAACTGGAATGGAGCAGCTTGTTGTCGGAATTATTACTGGAGCTGCTTTAGGATTCTTTCTTGGAGTTTTACGCCAAGCTTTATTCACATCAAATATGGTAAACACACTTTAGTAATTCATTCACACGCACTATTTTTGGTTTAATTCATTTTAATACTATGTATATAATTGAAGTTGGAGTTGCTGAGTTGACTGAATTTGTGAAAAAACTATTTTAGCCACTTCTCATTTAATTTTTTTTTTATTATATTAATAAAATATACAATATTTTAAATAGAATTTTCTCATAATTCAGTACATTCAATCACTTTCAACCAATGTTTCACGTACTTATTTTTGCAGATTCAACTCAACTAATTTCAGTATTATCAAACATAGTGTTCATTAGTGCAATCTCATGTTAATTCGATCTCTCACTCTTATGTATGTGATTATTAGAATTAGATTCATTCTTCGAATTCAAATCAATTATGAATACTAATTGAATTATATGAGATCAAATTAACATGGATTTAGTGTACCTTTCGGGGCTTATTAGAGGGATCCGGCGTCTTTGTCTTGGTTAAGTAGACAAGGAGGGTGCCTAATTGTTTTCATCCATTATTAGATACAGGCCTGGTCCTGACATTTTGGTGACACAGGACATATTGAAAGAATGGGCCCTTACGATTATAATGTTGAAAATCAATTTTAGTAAAAAAAAAGTTCAATACACAAAGAAAGTAGTACTTTGTACAAAAAAATTACAAAATCTAATATCTTCAATGTCAAAGAGACTCAATAGAGGCCAAAGTGCGTCTTCTCAATGCCGGAAAAAATCGTAGGTGTAACAAATATCTATAAATTATAATAGTAATATACTCGGTAGTATATAGAGGAATGATCGATGTCGGGTCGCCTCCATTTGAGTTGCTTATGAGTGAATGTTTTTTATGAAATTATGTGAGCATCTAGCTCATGAAGCGCAGATTATGTCCACTAAATTTCACCAAAAATTTCAATTATTAAGTTGGTCAAATAAATAACTGAAAAATACTGTGCCAATAAATATTAAGAAAACTCAGTATTTTATGATAATTTATTTAACTGACTTCTCGATTGCATTTTAATGTGAATTTCGGTTCACACAATCTACACTTAATGAAGAATATGCTCATAAACTTCCACCAAAAAATTCATCTGGACGGTGGTTCCTATGACGTAATTCTTATAAAATCATTTCTCATACTATATATAACATTATATTAAAAAATATGGGCCCCATGTAAGAGATGGGCCCTGGGAATGTGCCCCACTGCCCCACCCCTAGAACTGGCCCTGATTAGATAAAAAAATGAAGGGTTGAGGATCAAGGGTCCCATTTTTCCACGAATCCCTAGGCCTGATTTTCAATTCGTGCCATTCATTTGAATAAGGCACTCTGCCTATGGCAGATGATCTCAATCCCTAATAGAGTAAACGTCTTTTTGTGGTCATTCATGAATAAAACTCTATTTAAGAAAGGGTTAATTTGAGTTTGCACTTTCTTTTATTGTCCAAATTTGAATTTGCACCCCGTTTATAAAAAAAATTGTATTTGCACCTCAACCCCGTATGAAAAGACAAAAATGCCCCTCCATTACAATTCTGTTGTCCTTCAACATATTCCTGATCGAGGGGCATTTTTGTCTTCTCATACGAGGTTGGGTGCAAATACAAAGTTTTTTTAAAAACGGATTGCAAAGTCCAATTTGAACAATAAAATGGGGTGCAAACTCAAATTACTCATTTACAAAATCGACCCAGAATCGGCATCCCAAATAAAAATTCAATTTGGGTATTTAAAAACCTGAAAAATCGTAAAAAACGGAAAAACCTGGTCATCCCAGAAAACTTTATATGGATCTAGGCTGGAAAATTCCAGGCAACCCGAAAACCCCGATTGCAGAGAGGTTTTTCAATTTTTAGGGTTTAAAGTATTTTGAAACTAATAAAATTGCAACTCCAATACCCATAATGAGTAAGAATCCATATATTTATATATTTATTGAAGAAAGATAATCATGTCAAATTATATTATACTCCTTAATGTACAATACAAATAACAAATACTCCCTAACATTATTTAATCTAATAGGAACAAAATTGTTTTTTAAAGTATTATATACGAGAGTGTTTTAAATGCTTACCAATCACTTGATTATCATAGTATAATTTACTTTTTAATTTAATTTATACATAATTTTCTAAATGTTGACCGATTCCATGGCATTGATCGGGTTTGATCTATCGGGTCAGGATTGACCCGTTGGTCCGATTTTTACAATAAGGAATACTCCGTATAAGAAAATAGTTACTCAGAGTCCGTACAATGAGTTAGAATGTGTAAATAATGAATGATTTGGTACTCTCTACTTTATGCAGAAAAATGTTTCAATAGGTACTGTTAACAAACGTTTGCCGGACCAAGAATCGGTCAAGTCAAGCGGAGAAATCAGCACCACACAAAACCAAAACCTTGCCAATTCTACAACGGTATCTCTATTATCCTCCGTCATTAACCATTATTAACCTATGAAGTATCTCTATCATAGTCCACTCGTTTACTTCTGCCAATTTGAGTTTAAAATCCAATTTATATTCTCTCAATTAACTGTTTGTGTGATACTGTGATCCAACTTCCAAGTCCGTTAGTTAATGTACAAGAAATTAACTTTATCATAGTATTATACTATCCGTAGATAGTATATATACTACTAATACTATGTATTACGGAGTATTATTATTGTAATTTGCTGGGCTAATGGGCTTCTTTTCTTTATTACAAAAAAATAAGAATACTGGAACAGTATGTAGTGACATGTGAGAATAAAGAGAGAGCAAAAATTACTTGGTACGTAAATAATAAAATGCAAATTAAAAGATTTGCATTTTAAAATATTTGTGCGGAGTAATAGATGGAATGTTTGTGCGGATTAGATTTGGGTGGCAACAAATCCAAAAGGAGCGGAGAGATTAGTTCCCGGCATTGTTGCATCCGACTCGGATTTTTTTCTCCGACGCTTATGGGGAAATCCAGCGCAGGCAAGTTCAATTCACTTCTCTAAATACATACATCTTTTTCACTTCTTCCATTGGGTGTTGCAAGTTAAATTTAACATATATACTTTCTGTTCATCTGGATAATATGTTTATAATTTGCAGGATCTAATTACTAAACCCAAGTATTTGGTAGCATTTACGGTCAGCTACGACCAGAAGAAGATCATTGATGCTGCAGTGAAAAAAGTGATGTTTCTAAATTTCTACATGCGTTTATATTTACCTTTTTTGAATTGAATGATTAGAAGAAGTACATGAACCAACGGTTCGTTAGTGTGCAGTTTCCTAGCAAATTTTGGTTCCACCCTACAAAAAGATTACGGAATTGTCAAGAATTTGACACGAATTGATCGATGATTTCGTGCCAAATCCCTGCTTTACCTCTCAATTCCCGGCCCAAACATGGAGTACTTAATTAATGTTCCTAACTAGCTAGCTAGCTAATTAACTGGTAATTATTCTAGCTAATAGCTGTTGTCTCAGTTTTCAGATAACTTTACAATTCTTCTATTTCACTATGATGGTCGAACGTCTGAGTGGGATGAATTCGAGTGGTCCAAGAAGGCCATCCATGTTACCGTTCATCAACAGACTAAATGGTACGACTAATTAATAATTGCGCGCTACTGCGGCCTAAGAATGTTTTCTTTTGGACTCAAATTTCCTGGTCTAGTCTGGTCTGTTTAAATCTGGTCTGGTCTGGTCTGGTAAATTTCTGGTCTCTATGTATTTTATAACTAAGAAAAAAAAAACTAAGAAATTCAGGTCTGGTCTGGTCTGGTCTGTTTAAGTCTGGTCTGGTCTGGGACTGCAAACAGTCCAAAAGAAAACACCCTTACTTGTGTGATACCTCATCAAACAAATAGAGTTGAATTTCTTTTCTTAATTAGCCCAAAAGAACAATTTTAGATTCGTTTTCATAAACGGAGTATATTTTTTCTTAAATTTATTAATAAAATCTTTTTTATATATAGCTATTTCATAACTTAGTATATTTATCACTTCCAGCCATAATTTTAGCATATTAATTTAACCGGTTCAACCAGTAACGTAACGGTTTCTTATAAATTGCAGACCCCTTGATTTAAAAGTTAAAAAGCAAATCTGGTTTTATCTATTATGGAATATATATATATATATATATATATATATATATATATATATATATATATATATATATATATATATATATATATATATATATATATATATATATATATATATATATATATATATATATATATATATCCACTGTCCTATCACCAATTGTCACCTTACTTTCTGTGTCTTGTTACCAAATTTGTCTCAATTATACTTCGCCCGTTCTTTTTTAGTTGCAACATTTCTTTTTTTTTATATTTAATTCTCTATTAGTAAAAAACTTTTAAAAATTAGATTATGAAACTTTGTAATGAGATGAATTTAACAATATTTTTCAAAAAAAAAAATACTTCACATACATTAATAAATAAAATGTAGTCAAAGTAGAGTACATGAATAGTGTGTACATTCCAATGTTGTAATTATTATGATACGGAGGATAGTATTTGATTATATTTGTATGATTCTAATTAAATAATCACCACATTATTTCATTTCACTTTATGTCTCAATCTTAATAGGATATAATTTGGTAGTATTAGAGGCCGTTTGACAACATTGGTTTTCGGCTTATCAGACTTATTAGCCAACTTTTTCACCAAACACGTAACTTTTACTTTCGTGCGCTGAATTGTGTAATAAACAGAAAAAGTAAGGTTGGTGTTACTTTTTTGGCTGTATTGGCTGAAGTTATTGTAGATGATCATTTTAGCTATTTTTACATATATTTTTTCTTTATTTTATTAATAAAGTATATTTTAAAAATATTTTTTTCTTAAATCAGTAGAATCAGCCAATACAACCACTTCAGCCAAAACTTCATACATTTCAGCAGAATCAGCCAAAATAGCCGATTTTCGTGCTACCAAACGGGCTATTAGCGGTACTTGAGCCAATGATTCATTATAATCTCTATGTTCTTTTTCTGTTTAAAGGTGGTATGCAAAAAGATTTCTACATCCAAACATTGTTGCACCATATGAATATATATTTATATGGGATGAAGATTTAGGAGTGGAGCATTTTGACGCTGAAGAGTAAGTAAACGACTAACTACCCATGAGTCATATACTTCGTATATAACTATAATAACTAATGATACTTCCAATTCCTTCTTGCTAATTCACCTTACTTTTGGTTTTCTATAATTTTAGATACATTAAACTTGTGAGAAAACATGGATTGGAAATTTCACAACCTGCATTGGTACCCAATGAGGGAGTGTGGATAATATATAACATAACAAGGCAGATAAACGGCATGGAAGTTCACAAGTAAGAGTGTTCAAACATACAACTTAGCTAGTTTAGTTAATCATTAATTAAGTATCAAGAAAATAGAAATGGTAATCAACACTTTCCTGCCTCAGCCTTGCTAAACTGTAGAGTTTTATGATTAAATAAGAGTCATATCTTTTCTAAAAATCATTGGGTAATAAGAAGGTGAATATCCTCTATTTAACACATTACTCTATAGTCCCCACAGTTCACTACGGCAGTGCATAACCCACTACTGAGCAATCGGTTGACACAAGGGACTGCACTACATCGTGGTGCCAGCAGGTCGGGCGGTTAATCCCCGAATCAAAACGAGGTAGTGGTCCCCCATTAGACCAGCAAATATAATACCTATATGAATATAAAAGATGCTCATTATGAATCTAAATGGCTATTTTTTATTATGGAAATGAACTCATCATTAAATGTACCAAGAGATGTACAATATACATACTGTTAAAAGCTAGTTTCTATGTTGTGAGATTAACATCGCTCTATTTGGCATTAAAGTACTCTTGCTATTACCAGAAACTTCATTTTAAAGAACGGAGGTAAGCTTTCATTTACCAACATTATATTTCTCATTCCATACTTTCATGATTAGAGAAATAAATGAGAGAAGAGGTGATCAATTCCAAAACACTCGGCAACCTATAGATGCGGCGTATGTATGAAAGATATTGGTCTTGTGTTTTTTGTGTCACTTTACATTCACTTTCATGAGAACTTATCTCATCAGTCCGGATTGACCGGAATCCCGTCCAGCCAAGCCCGTTTGAGGGACATCTTGGTCGCATTTTGTGATGAAATTTTGTGAGCATGATGTTCATAAAGTGTATATTATCTTCACAAAGTTTCATCTTAAAATTTAATCACGAAGCCAGTTAAATAAACTATTGAAAAATATTGCGCTTTATATATATATATATATATATATATATATATATATATATATATATATATAAAGCGCAGTGTTTCTAACTAATTTAATTAACTGACTTTCAGATTGGATTTTAAGCTGAAATTTTGTGGACATCATCTACATTTCATGAAGAACATTCTCAAAAATATGCATCAGGCAATTCAACCCGGAAGAGTCTTTAACGCGGTTGGCTGTACGTGCCCGACCAGATAAGTCCTCTATATATCTCATATAGTAATTCCTTAGTTTAATATCAGGTTTATTGAGATAATGGCACCTGTCTTTTCTCGGAGTGCATGGAAATGTGTGTGGTATATGATTCAGGTACATGCAAATGAAATGTTATCTATATATCTCATCACCTTTAATTAATTTCCCCCTTCTTTTGTTGTTACAAAAGATATGAAAATCTCTACTTTAATTTTCTCATTTGAATTCAGAATGACTTAGTGCACGGTTGGGGATTTGACTCTAATTTTCGAAGATGTGTAACGGTTAGTTTATTTCTACATAATCTACTTACATATGCAATATAGGCTCTTATTGTGATGTTGTGCAACCCACTCGATTGCTCAAGTTCTACAATAAAGGGATAAATGTATAAATTATATCATCAATATTGATGCACTTTGGTAGATCGATCAGATATTGAATGAAATAAACTAGAACCTCAAGTGCATTAAGCTATTCCATAATGGATTTTCTAAATTCTTATCGAATTGAATAACCTTAACTTAATGTGAATCAGATAAAAAATAAGATATACAGAGTAACAAATAGTTTTATCAAATTGATGAGGTTCTCATTAGTCAAGTGACATTCTTAGAGCATCTCCAATGGTTCCTTCTAGGGACCTGCTTGCAAATTTGAAGCTATTAGCCCACCATACCATTGGAGTACATCTTTGCTTCTAGCTTGGGCAAGCAAATTAGCTAAAACAAGCTAATTGCTAGAAAGGAGAGAAACTTGAATTAAAATGGTAAGTACCAAATATATTTAATTTATTTGTAATTGATATATTATATTAATTAATTGTGCGATGTATGAGCAATACAACGTTAATTATATATACTGAATGGTTTACAATTTTAGTTATACACTATTTTCTCCTACTCCCCCACTACTCTATTTTCATATGTAAAAATTTAGTGTACTCTTCCATTTGAGAGCATATTTGGCAACGTTTTGGAGAGAAATTTGAATTGATATTGTTTAATTTAGTAGATCTATTTTATTTAATGTGTTTGCTTTTTTAATTTTAAGAAATGTTTAATTTTCTCATGAAATATTATTTCAGTCAAACTTGTTTTTTTAGTATGTATGTGTTGTTAAAAAAATTATTCCTTATTTTTTTACATAACAAAATACATATTATTGTTCAAATTTTTCTTTTTTTTAGTATGCACTTTCACCCTTGTTGGACGTTGGATTAATGGTTGGTCAAAGTCATAGTTGATTTTTTTATATTAATAAATCAATTCACTCATAATGTGTATTTTAAAATTGATTGATTTGTGGGGTCTATTCAAGAGACAAGCATTGTGGCTAACCATTGGACTATCATATTGCTGGAAAATGGATTAGCTAGAAAAAATGATGTGGCAAGCAAAACTACAATGTGTTTAGCTAACCATTGGAGATGCTCTTATGTATTCAATGAATACATCATCCACATGTTTGGACGTTTGGTTTTCTTTCTCAATCACTTGGTCAGAGTTGGGCTTACCAAAAATGGTATGTGAATTAATTAATTATTACATGCAGAGTACTTATTTTAGAAAAGTATGCGGAGCTTAGAATGTTATGGAAAATTATTTAGCTCTAATTTGAAGTGGTATTATGGACAAAATCATTGCAATATATTTAAGGTACTTGTTTGCTTCATTTAATAGTTGGTGTTAAAAGGGCATCAATGTCATTTGTTATTATAATATCTGCTCCTTATGATATTATCCTTACAATTAAAACATGCACTTCTTTGATGTTTTCCTCTCCACTTCCTCCAAAGTTCCATACATACCCTTAAGGAATGTATTCGTGTTTAAGTAATCAAGTGTATGCTACTGTGCTACATTGATGTGATGCAGAATTCTTATTTCTAGCTAGCTTTCATTTGAACTGATATAAAAAAAATATTTATGCTATATATTAGACACCAGATATTGAGAAGATGGGAGTCGTTGATGCTCAACCAATTGTTCACCAAGGCATACCTTCCCTTTCGGTAATAAAACAAAGTTACGCTTTATGTAAATCACTTGGATATAACCCTACAGTGATTGTTAAACATGTATATTTGTACCTATACTTCTTTTTATCTACAATATGTAATATGTGTTGAAATGGTGTATACAGAGTGAACTTACATTGATCATGGTTATTTACTTTATATATAGGGCGCCATGGAAAATGGGAATTCTACAAGAAACGATGTAAGTAGTTCGTGATCAAATTAATATGTTATTGACATGATTACAGTTCGTACGAAGTACTACTATAATGTATTTAAAAAATTACGATATAAGCTTATAATTTTCATAATCCTTTTGTATAGGAAAAGATGAAGAATGAGACATCCAAACGAAATGAGGTAAGTAATGCTGATCAAATTAATGAAATTATAATGTTATGGACATGAGTATCAAATATGTCTACTGTTCAGTAATGTTTTACACATAGTATAAGGATGTTTTCTTTTGGACTGAAATTTGCTGGTCTGGTCTGGTCTGGTCTGGTCTGGTCTGGTCTGAATTGGTCTGGTCTGGTAAACGTCTGGTCTCTATGTATTTTATAACTATCCAAGTCTGGTCTGATTTGGTCTGATCTGTTTAAGTCTAGTCTGATCTGGTCTGGTCTGGTCTAAGACTGAAGGAAAACATCCTAAGTATAAAACATAAGCGAAATGGATATCAATAGTAGACTGTACTTCAGGGTTTTATCCGACTTGAAGGAACATCTTTCCTTCTTTTAAGTGGCATATATATATACTTGACTGTTTTTGTTTGATTTATTTAGATCTCTCACATTTTAATATCACTCTTTTATTATTTTGCATACATACGTAATTTCCAGAAATCCCATTTCACATTTTGAAAATTCTTCAACAACTCTAGATGCGACAGTAGATTTTGAATGTGGTATTTGTTAGGAAACTGATGTAACATACCTCGAAAGTACAAAAGCGGAAGTTTAAAAATTTTCCCAAATAGATCTTCCCTGATTATATGACAAAACAACGTGTTGGGTAAATGGCCCAAGCCGAGGTCCGGCCCACTAACCCATATTGCCAGACGCACGTCCAGTTAGAACATCAGGACAGCCCACGGGCCCATGTTCCTGGAGGATGGACGAACGTCTGGTGTCGGGGGCTCAGGCCCAGCAGCTCATCCCGACGAACGTCTATCCAGGGACAAGGAGCAGGACCACGGGCCACCAGGGATGGCGACGAACGTCTCCAGAGCAAGCCTGTAGTCATCGGAGAAAAACCCAGTCCACACGGTGAATGTCTACAAGGCCAGGAGACGAACAGCCGATACCTTGCGAGGGTCACTTGGAGCAATCCAACTCACTTCCCGGGAGGACGAACGTCCCCACTAATCAGGCGGGAAACCTAGATTCTGGCGGGAAGTGCATTTAATGCTGAAGATTTGGTAGTTGGGACACCAGCGGTCCACAGGCTGCCACGTCAGTTCAGCCACCTGCCCATTGGTGGGTATAAATAGAAGCATTTATTTCATTGTAAAGGGTTGGCAACTTTCTATTCTTAGCACCCTAGCTATAGCATTCTTACTCGCAGCACTTCTACTGCCTTGTAAGACGAACGGCCGACGTGCCCTTTTTAGCAAGTAGATTGTACTTAGGGGAGTTATTACGGAGTTAATAATACCTATTTACATTGCCTGCTATTATTTTTGTTTCCTAATCCATCTGAAGGTTGTTGGGCTAGATATTTTTACACCTACTCCACTCGAAATCTTTGGGCTTACGTGTTGGGCCTGAAGGTTGAAGGAATAAACCTCAACACTGGCGCCGTCTGTGGGAAACTGAGCAAAAAGTTTCCAGAAACTCTCCCCAAAACAGCTACTAAATCTACCTACAGCAACGCGATGTCAGGAAGCAACAACCAGCGTGATCTCTCCGAGCGTCTGGAATCAAGCCGCCGGAATCGCGGCCAGAACTCGGAACTATCCGCAACAATATGGACCTCTGGAGGAAACGGGGGTATCACTGACCTCATTCCCCTGGAGGCCAGACAGGATCCCCGCCTCATGCGGGAACTCGCAGACACCATGCGTCGCTTGGCGGACGAGCGGGAGGCCCGAGATCAGGTGTACTCTGCAAGCACCCAGCGAACACCCCCCTCTCCCATACGCCGCATGCAGTCGTATGATGATACGACAGGATCCAGCGACCACCGGCCCTCTGTCCACGAGCGGCTAGGTGGGGGTTCAGGCTCCCGTGAAACGGGAGGGCGGACCAGGGTCAGCATCGCTGCATCCAGAGCTCTTACGCCATCGGTTCCTCGCCAGATCCCGCGGGGAGACGAAACCCCAAGGTTCAACACCGTTGGACGACGTTTCCAACGGCGAGGTGCGCAGATCTTCAGGCGGCCGCACGATGCTGTGGCCGCTCAGCAAAATGCCGTCCCCGAGACCGCGCCCCCTGTGTCCCCCGGAAGGGCCGCACAGGATGCAAGGTTGGAGGCCATGGAAAGGCAGATAGCCGAGATGAATAGGCGGGCGGACGTTGGCTCGGCCACACCCTCTTTCTCTCTCACATCTCCCTTTACTCCACGGGTGATGAGCGTCGAGATTCCCCGGGATTGCGGGACCCCCGGGAAACTTGGTGTACAATGGGGCCGGCGACCCAAAAGCCCATCTAATAAGCTACCAAGGGAACCTGTCCATGCTGGGAGCATCGGACGAGGCCATCTGCAGATTGTTCTTCGGCACCCTCAGGGGGCCAGCGCAAGAATGGTTCGGCCAGTTGAGGCCGGGCACCATCGACTCATATGAACAACTCTCCCGGCAGTTCATGGCACAATTTGCCGCCAGTACCACCCCCAGGAAGGACGTCACGGCTCTCGCCCACATCAAACAAGGGCGGGACGAACCGCTGGCTAGGTTCCTGGTGAGGTGGAGGGACGAGGTCCTGCAGGTCGACGATCTGGACGAACGTCTGGCCACCAACATGTTCACCAGTGCGCTGGCCACAGGGGATCTATACCGGGACCTAAGGAGGAATCCCGGCACCAGCTACACCGAAGTTCTGGCTCGGGCCCAGAAGTATGCCTCCATTGAGGAGGAGATCAGGCAGCGGGACGGGGTTCCCGCGGCCCAGCCGAGGAAAATGGCGGACAGACTCGGACCCCGACCGGGATCCGGGCCCTCACCCCCAAGCAAAAAGAAGAGGGTGGACGGAGCGATGATCCCTTGGAAGGTTCCGTCCGGAGACAGCCAAACGCGGCCGGACGACCGCTATGTTCCGCTGGCCTACCCAGTGAGCCAAATCTTTGAGGCCATCAAAGATAAGGGCCTCCTTACGGAACCCCAGGATATGAAGAAGTATATGGGGCTTGACCAATCGGCCTACTGTGAGTACCATCAGAGGATCGGCCACCTGACGGACAATTGCAGCCAACTGAAGAAGGCAATCGACGAGCTGATCCGTCAGGGGTACTTGGGCGAATTCACCCAGCTGCTGAACAAAAACAGTCAGCAGAAGCCGAACCCAAGGCACAAGACATGGCGCCGCGACGATCGGCGCGAGGCAGAACCTCAGGACGTGGATTATCGAAGTGCAGATAAACGTCCGGAGGGATCCCTCGGCCCTAAGGGCAAGAAGAAAAAGTTGGAGATCAAAGTGATCTTCGGGGGCGCTGAGACTGGGGATACACCCGCCGAGCGGAAAAAATTTGAGAGATCACTCTATGTGGGTTCCGTATCAGCACCCCCCACCAAACGCAATAAAATCGAGGCAATTACCTTCGGCCCCCGCTGACCTGCCAATGTCACCGGCGCCGCACAGAGACGAGCTGGTGATCAGCATGGACGTAAACGATGCCATCGTACGCCGCGTCCTTGTTGATACCGGGAGCAGTGTGAACGTCCTCTACTGGGAGGCTTTCGAGGGAATGAAGCTCAGGAAGGACATGCTGCACCCTCTGCGTACCCCGCTGTCCGGCTTCACCGGGGATTGCATTGACGCTGAGGGCACCATCACCTTGCCAGTAGAAATCGGCGACGGCCCTCACACTGCCCGGATCAGCATGACGTTCGTCGTGGTCCGCCTAAAATGCGCCCACAACGCCATTTTGGGCCGACCCGGCTTGGAAGACTTGGGGGCCATATGCTCCGTACGACATTCATGCATCAAATTCCCCACCGACACTGGAGTGGGGGTGGCACGTACGGACCCACATATGGCCAGGGCCTGCTACACGAAGGCCATGGAGAAGCTCAACGAGCGGGAGGCTCGGGTCAACAGCATCTCCGAGAAGGCCAAACAGGCCGACTTGGACGCTCATCTGGAACCAGCAACCCTGCTGGAGGAAATCGAGCTCGACGACCCGACGGACAGGAAGGTGTCCATCGGTGCAGATCTAGAGCCAGAGATCAGGGCGGGGGTCATAGCTGTCCTCCGAAGGTTCAGGGTCTTATTCGCCAGAGGGCCGGAGGACATGCCGGGCATCGACCCTAACCTCATATGCCATAGACTCGCCATGCGACCGGACGCCAAGCCTGTACAGCAAAAGAAAAGGTATATGGCGGCCGACCGACGCGATTTCATCAGGAAGGAGACGGCAACTCTCCTCAGCATTAAACACATCCGGCCGGTCATCCACGTGGAGTGGCTGGCCAACGTGGTGCTAGCCCCGAAGGGCGACACTTGGCGGATGTGCGTCGATTACTCGGACCTGAACAAAGCTTGTCCGATGGATCCTTACCCTGTTCCGAGGATCGACTTGCTGGTGGATGAGACGGCAGGCTGCGAGCTGCTCAGCTTCATGGACGCATTCAGGGGCTACCATCAGGTGTTCATGCACCCCGATGATGCCGAAAAAACGGCGTTCGTTACGGCGGACGGCGTGTACTGCTACATCGTCATGCCGTTCGGCCTGAGGAACGCCATGGCGACTTTTCAGAGGATGATTGGGATGTTATTCAAAGACGTACTCGGGAAGACAATGGAAGCTTACGTGGATGACATCCTGATCAAAAGCAAGAGAAAGGAGGACCATGTCCAGGACATGGAGAGGGTCTTTGGCATCATGGAGAGGGCCAGCATGAGGCTCAACCCGAAGAAGTGTGCCTTCGCCGTCAGGGGCGGCAAGTTCCTCGGCTACATGATGAGCGAGCGGGGAATCGAGCCTAACCCGGAGAAGGTGAAGGCAATTATGGACATGGAGGCCCCGAAGAACCTAAAGGATGTGCAGCGCCTCACCGGGCGTCTGGCGGCCCTGAGCAGATTCCTGTCCAAGCTGGCTGACAAGGCGATTCCTTTTTTCCAGATCATGAAGAAGGCCAATCCCTTTGAATGGACCCCGGAGTGTCAGGCTGCTTTCGAGGATTTCAAGGTATATCTCTCCTCCCCGCTCGTCCTCACCAAAGCGGATCCCGGGGAGAGACTGTACATGTATCTGGCAGTGGCCGATCTGGCTGTAAGTGCCGTGCTGCTGAAGGAGTCTGAAGGAATTCAGCGACCGATATACTTTGTGAGTAAGGCGCTGAACGGCCCCGAGACGAGATACACACTGATGGAGAAGACGATCCTCGCCTTGATTGCATCCATCAAGCGCCTGGCGCCGTATTTTCAAGCACACCCGGTGACCGTCTACACAACGCAACCCCTCGCCACAATCCTCAGAAATCCAATGGCGAGCGGGAGGATAACCAAGTGGTCCTTGATGATCGGCCAGTACGACGTGGACTTCAAACCGAGGCCGACGATCAAGGGGCAGGCACTAGCGGACTTCATTGCAGAATGCACCGCACGCACCGAGGACGAAACCCATGACAGCAACGACTTCGACAATTGGTGGGAGATGTACACCGATGGGGCCTCGAGTGCGCGAGGCTGTGGCGGAGGAGCAGTGATCACTTCCCCTGAGGGTTTCAAGGCCTACTACTCTATGAAATTCGAGTTCAAGGTCACCAACAACGAGGCTGAGTACGAGGCGCTTATCGCAGGGCTGAAATGCGCGAAAGCCCTCGGAGCAGCTCGTCTGAAGGTGAGAATGGACAGCCAGCTGGTGGTAACCCAGATGAACGGCACTGCAGAAACCAGGGAGGAAAGAATGAAGGTTTACAGGGAGTTGGCGGAGGAGCAGACCGCACAATTTGAACAGGTGATCCTCGAGCAGGTATCACGGGTGGAAAATGCAGAGGCGGACATACTATCAAAGCTAAGCAACCCCCCAACCGATGATCCAGCGTCAAACATCCCCCGCCACATCAGAGGCTTCGTCAGGCAGGAAGTGTTCCCAGCACCGGCGACGGACGTCATCCAGGTAGAGGTTATCTCCATCGCCGAACCCAACTGGGCGAAGGAGATAGCAGATTACCTCAGGGATGGAACACTCCCCGAGCCCGACGAGGATGGCAGCACAGGGAGAGCTGCATGGATAAAGAGGCGTGCCCCTAACTTTGAACTTATTGACGGGCAACTCTACAAGAAGACGTTCGGCGGGTCTTATCTCAGGTGCCTCCCGCCGAGCCTGGCAGCGGCGGTGATCGAAGAGATACATGAAGGGATCTGTTCCAGCCACCAAGGCCCCCGAACCTTAGCCAGAAAAATCATCCTGCAGGGCTATTACTGGCCGACCATACAGCAAGATTGCTTCAACCATACTCGGAAATGCGCAGTATGCCAGCAGTATGCACCTGTCCCCGGACGTCCGGCGAGTTTCTACACCCTGATGACCATCGCACTACCTTTTGCCAGGTGGGGCATAGATTTGCTGGGTCCTCTGCCAACGGCTGCTGGTGGAAGGAAGTTCGTCATTGTGGCGGTTGATTATTTCACGAAGTGGGTCGAGGCCGAACCATTGGCCTCCATCACTGAATTCCAGTGCCAGAAGTTCGTCTGGCAGAACATCATTTGCCGCTTCGGGATCCCGGAGCAGATCATCACAGACAACGGTCGGCAGTTCGTCGGCAGAGGCTTTGAGGCATACTTGGCAAAGTGGGGCATCAGGCACTCTAAGGCCTCGGTGGCCTACCCGCAAGCCAACGGCCAAGTGGAGAACATGAACCGGACCATCATGGACGGGATCAAGAAGAAGTTGGAAGACTACACCTCCACCTGGCCGGAGCAGCTGAATTATGTCTTATGGACGTACAGGACGACGCCAAGAACGGCGACCGGGGAAACACCTTTTGCCTTGGCTTACGGATTCCAAGCTAAGGTACCGACGGAGGTATTGGTACCTACCCATCGCACCAAGCACTTCCAGCCGGAGGACAACGCGATCAACCTACGAGCGGAGCTCCATTTCATTGAGGAACGGAGGGACCTAGCGGCTCGTCGCATGGAAGAATACCACAGGGCCACCCAGAGATACTTCAACAAGGCCGTGAAATTCCGCGAAATAGAGGCCGGGGACCTCGTACTCAGGAAAAGAGAGAAGAGCAAGCCGCTCGAAGGTGGCAAGATGGCGAAGAACTGGGAAGGACCTTACCAGGTCATCAGAAGATACAACCAGGGGACGTTCCTCCTCCATACCCTGGAGGGGAACCATGCCGGAATGTGGAACGTAGAACACCTGAAGAAGTTCTATCAATAGTTAGAGGCTGTTGTCCTTGTTTCATTCCCACTCCCATGTAAAATGACCGGACGTCGTCAATAATAAGGCCCCCTGTTTTTCATCACTTCTGTTCTTGCCCACGGCCGTTAAAGAAGGGAATCTCGATGCAGATAAACCTGTTCCTCCTTGCGATGTCTACGGATACCGAACGTCTCCTCGAAGTAGGGACGCCGGTAGGACCAAGGACGAACGAAGCACCGGGGAATCTCGATGCAGATAAACCTGTTCCTCATTGCGATGTCCGCGGGTACCGAACGTCTCTTCGATGTAAGAACGTCGGTAGGACCAAGGACCAATGACGGACGAAGACTATGATTGCCTCCCTCAAAAAAAAAAAAAAAAAATGGGGAGAAGAGGAGAGTAGCTCCTATGCGGAAGGGAATCTTGCCCGGGCGTGCCAGATCTTCTCCCACCGCCGAAGGCGAACGCCTCTCGATGTAGAGGTTAGTAGAGACGCGGAGGGGGCTAGACGAACCAAGGGAGCCTGCCAAGATAAACCTGTTTATCCCACAAATGACCATGGATCGATGGACGTGGGATAACAAAGTCGGGAACCCGTGAGGGTAAACCTGTTCGTCCCTGCGAGTTCCTTGGGTACCGAACGTCCTCTTCGAAGCAAGAGACGCCGGTAAGACTAAAAGGACCACGGACGAACGAAAAAAGGGGGAATCTCGATGTAGATACACCTGTTCTTCTTTGCGATGTCTACGGATACCGAACGTCTCCTCGAAGCAGGGACGCCGGTAGGACCAAGGACCAAGGACGAACGAACACTAAAAGACTCCAAAAAAAAAAAAAAAAAAAAAAAAGATGCCAGAAGAGCACGGAGCAAATAATGATTTTATTCTTCGGCACTACTGGCCGGGAAATTACAATGTGCAAAGATACAATGCAAAGAATGGAAACAATTGTACAAGTATAAGGTGATGAACGGAGAATCACTGCCGATCGACGTCCGGAGTCTGCTTGGCTTTTTCCCTAGCTTCGGTCTCCTCTTGCTCCTTTCGCAGCTCAAGGGCCCCCGCATGGGCATCTGCCATCAGGACGTCAAAGCCAGCCGCCTCCGGATCGAAGGGAGCCCCAAAGTGACGCTCGAACGTCGGGAGATTCTCCGCTACTAGCCCAACCATACCTTTGCGGTAGGTGTCATCGGCGAGATCGTCAAGGAAACGACGTCCGGTGGGGGTGGCCTGGAGCAATTTAACCCCATCCTGGTAGGCATCCGGGCAGGTGGCCAGGAACTCGCCGACGAGCCGCGGGAGGAACTTCATGGCCATGGTGTGGATGGCGCCAGTATAAGCCTTGGATTTCTGGAAGGCAATAGAACCAGACTCCTTGATTTTGGCAACATCGGCCTCATAAATAGGGACGTGATTGTCCACGCCCGTCTGGCGAAGCTCCACCTTGGCCTTCTCTACGGCCCACATCCGGCTGCGGAGATCCACGAGCTCGGCCTCCTGCTTCTTGAGGAGCTCCTTCTGAGAGGCATTCTCCTGAACAAGCTTATCATAGGCATCGGCTTTCTCTTGAAGAGTGCCAGCCCTGCCTTTTGCATTCCTCAGAAGGGCATCACACTCAGCCCGCACTCTGGCCATCTCCCTGCCCTGGTGCTCGAAGGCCATCCGAGCCCTGTGAAAGTAGAGCCCGGCCTTGTCCAAGGTACTCTGGCCGCACTCCAAAAGATCCTCAGGGGCCTCCTGAGCAGCGAAATCCTGCGGGACCTTGAGATTCAGCCCACACCAGATGGAGGACGCTGTCTGGCCAAAGAGCATCATAGACTCTTTGCGGGGGCCGACCCCGGAAAACTCGATCAGGCCAAGAGAAGACTCACCGGCTCCTGGGGGAGAATTCGGACGGACGTCGCCAGAACCTTTGGCGGTTGGGGTATCATCATCCCGGAGACGGCGGACGCCGGAAGTCCTCGGAGGAGAGGCACGGAGATTGGTCCGAGAAGTGCGCTTCCGTTTGAGGGGACTTCCGGGCTCCCCATCAGAGTCGTCAGCCACTATAATGGCCTTGGAGGCAGTACCCTCGACGCGCAGCCTCTTGGAAGCGCCAGCTCCCGAATCATCCTCGGCCCGTGCCCTGGTCACCCGGTGTTCGACCTTAGGGACGAGCGGCCTCCCGGGCTTGTCATGCCCCTTGTGCTCACGGCCGGTGGCAGTCGAAGCAGCGTTGATTCGGCCCATGGTGGACGTGGATAGAAAAACTCCTGCACAAAGGGAATCAAGACGTTCAGAACCATAACAGCGAAGAGATGTTAAAACAATACAGGTACAAACGGACGCACCTAATCCAGCCCGAGCCTTAAAAGGCTCGGCCACCAGCAACCGGAGGTTCTGGATGCCAAGTCCGGCTATGCGCTTGGCATATCCAAGCTCCTCGTCCGTCATGGGCGGCGGGATCGTCTTCACGGGGTAAGCGTTCCACCGATCAGAGAATGGCATCGGTGAGCCTACTCCGGCCAGGAAGAAGCGTTCTTCCCAACCGTCTGGGTTCCCAGCATTGTTCGAGAATAGAACCATGGACGGACGGGCGATCAGGGTCAAATACCCTGTGCGTCCGAAGGTGGACAGACGGAAGAAGTGGTGCAGCAGATCCACGGTGGGGGTCACACCGACGCTATGGCATCTAATGATGAAGCCAGCGATTATCCGATAGGCGGCAGGGACGAGCTGCGCAGGCACAATCTCAAGGGCCCTGAAAAGTTCCAAGTGGAAGCTGTGCAGGGGGAAGTTCAGCCCGGCTATCACCGAATCCAGGTGGACCACCACATAGCCGGGCAGATGGCGCATGGGGTTCCGCAGACGCCGATCGTCGTAGGCCCTTGGGGGATAAAACCATTGACTGATCAGTCGCTTATCAGCGTTCGTCAGGCGTTGAACTTGACGCCGAACGCATGAGAAGCTGAGGCTGTAACGGGGAGGCCGGGGTGGCATTCCCCGCTCATAATATTCCAGGTCATCACCGGAAGAACATCCATCGTCAAAGCGACTTTCGGAAGACATGACAACGAACGGTACCTTTGGGGTTCGAGATTTCCGATACGGGTTGAGAGAAGTCTAGGGAGAGAAGACAATTGTGCAGCGTAAGGAGAAATGTGAGTGGATCACTTGGACCCTGGGTATTTATAGGCAACACCGCGGAATTGCCCCAACCGAAGCAGGACACGTGGCGCCTGGGTACCGGTACCTACCACGGCATTTAAGGCGTCTCGATTTTGTCGGTAATTCCCCGGCTGACCCTAGCGTCGGCGGCTGATGAGGACACACGCATCAACCGGCTACGTCCGTCTTGCAGTACACCAGTTTTTCATGTCACGCAACTATAGACGAACGTCGTCACCGAGCGCTGTTTCAGGGAAATACGCCCATATGTCCATACTCGAGAGGCGTACTGACAAGGCAACTACCGACGAACGTCTTCCCATTGTCAAGATACCGCGTGGGCGGTAAAGATGTGTCGAGGCGCCGGAAGGATTTCTTATACTACAAACGATGGACACAAAAAGGATGAAGTAAAAATCACGTCCATTAGGGGTGCACGGAGGAGGAACGTCGCCTTTCCACACTTCGTGCCGGATGAACATGCAGGACAGACGGACACCCTTGCGCGAAGCTTTAGCGTTCATGCCACGCGACGATAGAGGAACGTCGTTAGCAAGCATTGAGGTAATCTCCGATGTGCGTATGACCACACTTGCAAAGCATGCTGTTTGGCCAACCCCCGACGAACGTCGTCTTGCCATCAGAATGCTGTTGCAGGAGGGGCAGCCAGTATCGCGCCGGGTGTCACCGTCCGAAGACGAACCTTAACACTGGCGCCGCGCACTAAATGTGTACAGGGTTTTGGCAAAGAGACGCCCCTGCCCCCAAACTAAATGGGGAACAGAGATGAACGTCCACGCAGACTATGCGACAGAGAATATCGAAACACAAGGGGAGTTTCCATACAACAAAGGACAAAAGGAAGGAAAATAACAAGTAGAAATCATGAACATGGAACAATTATGGGCAAAAAGATGTATATTCTTCGGCTCTAACGGCCGGACATTACAAAAGCACGAACGGAAAAATACAAATTATATTATACAAAGAAAGGGGATTCCGGTCGGCTGCCGCCCTGGTTCGGCTCCTCTTCCTCTTCCTCGGGCTCGGGGGACGGGGGTTCCGGAACTTCCCCCCAGCCTTGGCCTCTCCCCAATTTCCCCAAGGCTTGGAGCAGCAGATCATCGTCTGTATGTGCGGCAAGCTCGAAGCCGGCCCCCTGCAGCCTTGAGAAGATGGGAAGGGTGGCCTTGACCCCCTCATTATAGCCAGCGGCGAAGGAGCTGTCGCCGACCTCGTAGAGGAATTTATGCGACAGGGGGGAGCTCTCCAGGATCCGCACGCCGCTCGCCAAGCGCTGCCGGGGCGGGATCTTTGCCAATACTGCGGAGAATACGTCACCGAAGGCCCCGGCGCAGTAGTCCCTGGCGGAGTCCATAAACTCCCCGGTGTTCCGATAGCCGGAGGTATCAACCAGCCACTCCGGACTGGCATCCCTTGCAGCAGGGTGCACCGGTACAAGCTTGAAGCCAGCTTTCTCAAGGCTGACCAGCTGCTGGCGGGATTCCGCCCGCAGAGCGGCGACCTCTTTCTCCTTGGCCGCCGCCTCCGCCTCCGCTCGACGAGCGGCCTCCCGGGCCGCAGCAACGGCCGCATCAGCTTTAGCCTTGGCCTCCTTCAGATCGGCCTCCCTGGCAGCTTCAGCCTGAAGGACTAGAAGCCCAGACTGGATGACAGAAGAAAAAATAAGGATCAGAGGATGAACGTCAAGGAAAAGATATATGTACTCAGATCTAGCAAGGAGGAATTACCTGAAGAGCGGCTGCCAGGGCAACGCTTGTCGCCTCAGAGGACGAACGGCTGGGCAGCTCGAGACCGGCCTTGAAGGCCATCTCCCTCCAAAGCTCTTCCGCCGGGTGGCTCAATGGTAGAGAGCCGGCATCTTCAAGCAGGGGCCCGGCGGAGCCTGCCTCGCGGCCCCTCTTCTGTCTCTTCTCGGGGACTTTCTCCGTCCCCTTTTGAGGGGCCGCCTTCGACGGGGCGACCGGCGGTGGAAGGGCAGCTTCAAGAGCAGGAGCCCCAGAACCCTGAGCCAGCATAGTGGCGATCAGGTGCTGCTCACCCTCGGCAGTTCGCCGGGCAGCGTCAGAAGCCGAGGAGTTGGACTCCGAGGCGGGGGCATTTTTGGCTTTCGCCAGTGCGGCTTTAGCAGCGGCCGCTTTGGCCTTCCTTGTCTTCAAACACTCGGCGTGATTCATCTGATCTCTGTCTGGCGGAGAACCTGCAAGAAACAACAAGGATTAGAAGACGAGCGGGAAATAGAATAAGACACTCACCTCGAAGGACAGGACCGCCCGGTGCCCCGAGACGAGCGTCGAAGGGTAGAAAAAGTCCAGGGACACGGGCGGTACCTATGCCTGCCCCGGAGAGTGCCTCGAAGGTCAGATACTCGGCTATTGGACGGACGCCCCCCTCCAACACCTTCTCCACATCCCAGAGTAGATCGTCGGTCGGCTCCGGAGACTCAATCTTTGGAGGATAACCATTCCACCGAACCGGGAGGGGGGGCCCATCGTATCTGAGGAAGAAGAAGCGGTTCTTCCAGTCGTGAATGGACGAAGGGTAATTCTTGAAGAGCTTCCTCCCTGGACGTGCGGCCACGCTCAGATAACCGTCGGAGTTCTGGGGGGTGATGCGGTAGAAGTAGTGGAAAAGCTCCAGGGTGGCAGTGGCTCCCGCTAACTTGCAGCGCACCAGGAAGGCAGATATGAACCTGTAAGAATTTGGCATGAACTGCGCCGGGGCCACCTGGAAACAGTGGAAGAATTCCACATAGAACGAATGAAGTGGGAACCGCAGCCCAGCTTCAACGGAATCCAGGTGAAGCATGATCATCCCCGGGCGTCTCCTCATCACGTGCTCAGCGCCTCTCACGCTCCAGACGAACGGCGGGGGGAAGAAAGTGCGGATTTTGTTCAGAGCAACCCGGGAGAGGACCTGATCGTGATCAAGGGCGCTTCTGATCGGACAGATGTGGCGCTCCCTGTCCGTGGGGATGCCCAGGTCATATACATCCATGTCAGAGCCAGATTCGGCTTCTTCCCCGGAGTCATAATTGGCGGGACGCTCATTCAGGGGGACTGCGTCAATAATATCTACTGCCCCGTCAGCACCCCCGCCCCCGGCGTCACTCCCACTACTCTGAGAAGCATCATCCGGCTCAACATCAGCCCGGATGGTCCCTACCGTCGTGGCCGAACCAGAGGTCCCAGAAATACTGGCCTTCCCGGGGGAGCGCGCACTCACATCAACCGAAGAGGAGCCCGAGGAGGAACCCGACGAACCGGAGTCAGAACTTGACGAAATCTCCATCGAAGTCATTTCGGCTAAGAATCAGAACAAGAAAGAAGCAGAAGGGGGAAATTACCTTACAAAGGGGTTAGCCGAATTCAGGAGACTTGAAGAGCTGCGGAAAATCGAGAGCAAGAGAGCAGAAATTGGGAACCCTAATTCAGAGGGAAAACCCGGCATTTATAGGAGAGAACACCGATGGGGAAGCCAACGAGGGGCTGACACGTGGCAAGGAGCGTATTCCGGCCCACGCGCTGTGCGTGGGGCAAAAACGTAATGATGACATTTCCTCGGGAAATACTCCGCCGCAACATCAGCCGTCACCTCGTTTCCTGAACCGTCGACAACTGTCAAGCACCATGACCACGAGCGTACGCTTCCAACGGGTGCAGAAAACTCAAGTACCAAGGCATGAACGTCTGCCTCGAGGGGATTCCTACTTCCTTATGTCCTGCGCGAGCCCAGAACATCAGAAGTGGGGGACTTGTGTTGGGTAAATGGCCCAAGCCGAGGTCCGGCCCACTAACCCATATTGCCAGACGCACGTCCAGTTAGAACATCAGGGCAGCCCACGGGCCCATGTTCCTGGAGGATGGACGAACGTCTGGTGTCGGGGGCTCAGGCCCAGCAGCTCATCCCGACGAACGTCTATCCAGGGACAAGGAGCAGGACCACGGGCCACCAGGGATGGCGACGAACGTCTCCAGAGCAAGCCTGTAGTCATCGGAGAAAAACCCAGTCCACACGGTGAATGTCTACAAGGCCAGGAGACGAACAGCCGATACCTTGCGAGGGTCACTTGGAGCAATCCAACTCACTTCCCGGGAGGAAGAACGTCCCCACTAATCAGGCGGGAAACCTAGATTCTGGCGGGAAGTGCATTTAATGCTGAAGATTTGGTAGTTGGGACACCAGCGGTCCACAGGCTGCCACGTCAGTTCAGCCACCTGCCCATTGGTGGGTATAAATAGAAGCATTTATTTCATTGTAAAGGGTTGGCAACTTTCTATTCTTAGCACCCTAGCTATAGCATTCTTACTCGCAGCACTTCTACTGCCTTGTAAGACGAACGGCCGACGTGCCCTTTTTAGCAAGTAGATTGTACTTAGGGGAGTTATTACGGAGTTAATAATACCTATTTACATTGCCTGCTATTATTTTTGTTTCCTGATCCATCTGAAGGTTGTTGGGCTAGATATTTTTACACCTACTCCACTCGAAATCTTTGGGCTTACGTGTTGGGCCTGAAGGTTGAAGGAATAAACCTCAACACAACGAATATAAGAAAAACAACATATTTGTGTTAGAACTTACAAATCTTCCAGCCTCGGTGGTGATAATCTTTGACATTAGATATCCACGTGATTTATCATTTACGAAAGAACGGTTAGATCTCCCATAGAGAAAGAATAGGAAATCCATTCACAGGGAAATAAATTGGTAATATTGAATCTAGAAAACTGGTCACCTAATTATGAAGGAGGTATGTATTTATACTAGTTCTAAACTAGTTTCTCAATCACAATGAAAGTATTTCTCATTAATGAGTGTTAAGACACGGGGTTCCATCCTAAAAGGTTAACCTGATAGGAGGAGGATCTCACATCTTAATATAGCACTTTGTTGATTCAAACTTTTCCGGTGTGGGATTCTAACACCCCTCCTCACGACCGGACACTTCGTCTGGATCGTGCTGTCATTCATTTTTTCCGTCGGTTCGTCATTGTCATTTTTTCATAATCGTGTCGTCATTTTTCATAAGTGGACCCACATCATTGATCGATTTGGCTCTGATACCATGTTAAGACACGGGGTTCCATCCTAAAAGGTTAACCTGATAGGAGGAGGATCTCACATCTTAATATAGCACTTTGTTGATTCAAACTTTTCCGGTGTGGGATTCTAACAATGAATTCTAATCCAATTAGAACCAATGTCATTTATTTAATCAAATAAATAAATAAATAAATAAATAAATAAATAAATAAATCAAACTAACTAGTAATAAGGGGAAAGTGGGCTGCACACCACTCTCCACCCTTTATTATATTATTTATTTTATCTAATTTATTAACTAAATATTAATTAAATAATATAAAGAATAAATAATAATAAAATAACAATAAGAGAAAAATTGGAACTGAAAGTAATTTTCCGTCTCCTCTGTATTCAATAAACTCGAGTATATATACAAGTTACATGATCGAGTTTGGGCTGCCAACCCATTAAAGGATAAAGCCTATCGCTATGATTAGATAACAACAAACTATAATACACGTGCTGGACTACTGAATTATAGCAACAGAAACTATTGGATAGAATTTACAAAATGTAACAATTAAATCCACTCGATAGCTTTGTAGACTGCCGAATATGTGCATGGTCACATGCGTACGTAAAATATGTGCTAACACGCCCCCGCAGTGAAAACGGGAGGTTCACGAACGTTGAGACTGGACCGAAATTCATCAAACAAAACTCTAGGAAGGCCCTTAGTAAAAATGTCAGCAAATTGATGACGCGACGGGACATGTAGGACGCGGACCTCCCCTTTAGCAACCTTTTCACGAACGAAATGAATATCCATTTCAATGTGTTTCGTACGTTGATGATGAACTGGGTTGCCGGCCATATAAATAGAACTGATATTATCACAATAGACAATGGAGGCTTTCTGAAGGGGGCAGTGAAGCTCGAGGAGAAGGTTTCTCAGCCAACAAGTTTCAGCAACAACATTTGCTACCCCTCGATATTCGGCCTCAGCACTAGAACGAGATAGGGTGGGTTGGCGTTTTGAAGACCAGGAAAGAAGGTTATCACCCATAAACACACAATATCCTGACGTGGAACGACGTGTGTCAGGACAACCGCCCCAATCAGCGTCAGAATAAGCTACAAGAGATGAAACAGTAGAGGGATGGAGATGAAGACCGTGTGTGAGAGTACCGTGGATGTAACGTAGAATACGCTTCAGGGCATGAAAATGTGGCTCACGAGGATCATGCATGAATAAACATATCTGTTGGACGGCATATGAAATATCAGGACGAGTAAAGGTGAGATATTGCAAGGCACCCGCAAGGCTACGGTATAGGGTTGGATCAGAAACACATGGACCACAAGCGGCACTTAATTTAGCTTGAGTGTCAACTGGAGTGGCTGCAGAATTGCAAGAGGACATTCCAGCACGTTCAAGAATCTCACTAGCATACTTTTTCTGGGATAGAAAAAGACCATCACGGTGTCGTTGTACTGATATACCCAGGAAGTATGTAAGGGGACCAAGATCGGTCATAGAGAACTCAGTACCAAGGCTAGTAATAATGGATTGTCGTAGAAGATCGGAAGATGCCGTGAGGATTATGTCGTCCACATACAGGAGTATATATGCAATATCACTTCCACGGTGCAAAATGAACAGAGAATGATCGGATTTACTATGAATAAAACCGATGGTAGCCATAAAGGAAGCAAAACGGTGATACCAAGCACGGGGAGCTTGCTTGAGGCCATAGAGGGATTTGCGAAGGCGGCAAACGTGAGTAGGCCGAGAAGCATCCTTGAAACCGGGAGGTTGGTGCATAAAAACAGTCTCGTCAATGGTGCCGTGCAAGAATGCATTCTTGACATCGAGTTGATGTAAAGGCCACGACTGGGAGAGAGCCAAACTAAGAACAGTTCGGATGGTTGCCGGTTTGACCACCGGACTGAAAGTATCATCAAAATCAATGCCGGGTTGTTGAGATCGGCCATTCACAACAAGACGGGCTTTGTGGCGTTCCAATGTTCCATCCGACCTGTACTTGTGCTTAAAAAGCCATAAACAACGAATGACGTTAACGTTAGACGGACGGGGAACCAACTCCCACGTCTTATTTTTAATAAGCGCACTAAACTCATCCATCATTGCCGATTTCCAGTTCGGATCGCGTAGAGCCTGAATAGGAGAACGGGGCAGGGGGGAAGGTTGAATTGTGTGAGAGGCAGAAAGATTGAGGGGAAATTTGGGTTTCGAAACACCGGACCGGCTGCGAGTTATCATTGGATGAATATGATGAGTGGGTGCGGCATTATGGGCAATGTCAGTAGTGGGTGCGGCATTATGGGATAAGGGAGAAGAATTATGAGGTGGGGAGGGTGCCGAATTATGAGGTGGACAAGTGGGGGCATGGTCCGTAGAGATGGATACATTGGGAGCCGTGGGGCTTGGGGATAAGTTTGACATAAGATAAGGGAATAAGTGGGTGTATGGGTGAGAGGAATCTGTTGGCGTAGGGGATGGGGTTGACTGGGCATATTTGAAAGGGAATGTATGTTCATGAAAAGTAACGTGTCTAGAGACACGAAGTTGATTGGTGGAGAGATCAAAACATAGATAGCCTTTGTGATTAGAAGGGTATCCGAGGAAAACACATGGTGATGACCGAGGTTGTAATTTGTCAATGGTGGGGGAAGGAGTGTGAGGAAAACACAAACAACCAAAAATGCGGAGATGAGAGTATGAGGGACGTTGATGATATAAGATATCAGTGGGGGATAAATAAGAAATAGTTTTGGATGGGAGAATATTATGAAGGTAAGTGGCCATTTGGACGGCGTGAGGCCAAAAAGTGGGTGGGACAGAGGCATGCAGTAAAATGGTTCGAGCAATATTATTAATAGAACGAATGGTGCGTTCAGCCTTCCCGTTCTGAGGGGAGGTATAAGGGCATGAAAAACGAAAATGCATGCCATGCATGGAGCCATATTTATGGAAGGAAGAATTATCAAATTCTTTCCCATTATCACACTGAAATACTTTAATATGACAACCAAATTGAGTGCGAATTAAAGTATGAAAGTGGACAAACGTAGAAAAGGTTTGAGACTTATGCCGAAGTGGATAAACCCATAAAAACTTAGAGTAGTCATCCAAAAATAAAACATAATATCGGTAACCCGAAGAACTAAGAACAGGAGAAGTCCACAGATCACTGTGAATAATATCAAAAGGAGACAAAGTAGTAGTCATTGAAGAACTAAATGGGAGTTTATGATGTTTTCCCAATTCACATGAAACACAACTAGAAGAGAATTTTTTATTACAATCAATGGCTTTATTTATGCTAAGACATCTAAAAACTGGTTCTCCAGGATGACCAAGGCGATTGTGCCACACCTCGGCTGATTCGGCAAGAAGAGAAACTGACGACTCTGGATTTATTTGTGGGAGCAAAGGATAGAGATCACCGGGGCTGTCACATCTCATAATTGGCTTCCTGGTTTGGAGATCCTTCACAGAAAAACCAACAGGGTCAAATTCAACAGAAACGGAATTATCAGTAGTGAAACGACGAACAGAAATCAGATTTTTGATAAGGTTTGGGGCATGAAGAACATTTTTGAGATGGAGAGGGGGGTGAGGAGGGGAGAAAGTGGCGTTACCATGGCCCAAAATAGGGATGGTAGAACCATTACCAACGATGATGTGACGAGAAGTAGGCAAATTAAAATAAGACGAAAGAGTACCTGGGGTGGACGTCATATGAGACGTTGCGCCAGTGTCCATGTACCAGCCATCTGATGGAGGGGAGAGAGTCATCGTATGCATGGCAAAAGCAATGTCCGTGGGTTGAGAAGTGCTAGTAAAATGTGCCTGGGAAGGTCTGGGACCAAGGATGCCGGCAGTAGAAGACGGCGGTAAAGGCCTGGGAGGTCCTGACCATGCAGCTGTAGGGTAGGGGCAAGGTGGAACACCCCACTGGTGGGGCATATAGTAGGCCCACGGAGGAGGAGCGTTCCAGTTAATTGGAGTAGGGGCGAGAGGACGTGGACTGCCAGGAGAGGATGGAGGACGAGATTTGTTGCCACGACCAGAAGATGAGCGACCACGGCCGCCGGAGGGAGAACGACCCGCAGGAGAGGATCGGTTGGAATCAGGCCGTGAGGATCCAGAAGTAGTGTGAACCAAAGCGGATCCAGAGGTGGCCCCCACTTGGTGAGCCTTACGGGTTTCTTCGAGTGTGATCATAGAACGAGCCTTGTAAAATGGTGGAAGAGGATCAGCCTGCTGAATGATGGAGGCGACAGTGTCAAACTGCTCCGGAAGTCCGTTGACCAAGCGAAGAACCAGGCGATGATTGGACACTGGGGACCCCACGTTGGACAGCTGATCAGCCAACATCTTGAGAGATTTGCAGTAGGAAGCAACGTTTGGAAAGCTCTCCAGGCGGGTGTTTGAAAACTGGTTTTCCAGGTGAACCGCCCTGGAATTTTTGTTATCCTGAAAAATATCAACCAACCGTTCCCAGGCGAGCTGAGCAGTAGTGTCCGGTTCTATGATAGTATGGAGGAGATCATGTGATATAGTACCATAGATCCATTGCAAGACCACGGCATCGAGACGCGACCAGAGAGCGTCCTTCTCCGCTTTGGCGATGGCAGCCGCCTGCACTTGTTCAGGAGTGAGGGTGTCCTGGGAGGTGGTGGATTCGGGTGTGAGAGATTCATCCGCAGCGGAAGGAATGATGTGGGAGAGAACTTGGTAGGCACGAGCTGTGATTTTGAACAGCTCGGCCCAGGAAGAATATTCGACATGTTCCATGTCAAGAATGATGGGTATAAAGTTTTTGATGTTATTGACGGCCAAAGCCGGGTGAAAGGAGGGAGATCTGGGAGAAGAAGCCATGGTAGCGGAACAAATGTCGAAGAAGAATAACTGATACCAAATTGGAACTGAAAGTAATTTTCCGTCTCCTCTGTATTCAATAAACTCGAGTATATATACAAGTTACATGATCGAGTTTAGGCTGCCAACCCATTAAAGGATAAAGCCTATCGCTATGATTAGATAACAACAAACTATAATACACGTGCTGGACTACTGAATTATAGCAACAGAAACTATTGGATAGAATTTACAAAATGTAACAATTAAATCCACTCGATAGCTTTGTAGACTGCCGAATATGTGCATGGTCACATGCGTACGTAAAATATGTGCTAACAAGAAAGGCTAGGGAGTGGCTTTAACCGCTACCCTACCTTTACTCCATATATTATTATTATTTTTTTTGAATTTTCTTTTAATCCAATTCCGAAAGGTATTAAAAGAAAATATCAACTTTATTTAATTAGAAATACATCTTAATTAAGTATAATAAATCTAATTTATTCCATAGAATCAGAGCTGGGTGGGTGAAATGGAAGGGTGCGTCAGGATTTCTATGTGATCGAGGTATGCCGACTATAGAGTGAAAGGTAAATTTTATCGAACAGCAATTAGGCATGCATCAATGTATGCCGTAGAGTGTTGGGCGGTGAAACAATATCACATTCAGAAGATGAGTGTGGCATAGATGCATATGTTGCGTTGAATGTGGGGACATACCAGGAAAGACCACCTGAGGAATGAGATAATCAGATAAAAGGTGGAAGCAGCAGCTATAGAAGATAAGATAAAGTCTCCGAAGTTTGTATGGCTTGGTGGTA